TTACACTTCTATATTAAATTTTAGAAAGCGCCATCTAGCAAAAAGAAGTAACTATATAGTTATTGTGCAAGTATTTATTATGCAAAAATACAAAAATTCACAAAGGAAACTATGAGTGAAGTTTAAAAAAAAGTGGTATCGGTCGAACTATCCCGATGTCCTCGGGTTAGATGGACCAAGATATATGGGATAGATCGACCACTTTTTAAATCAAAAGTTATAAACTAAAAAATATACATTTTAATAAAAGTAAACGAATTTGCATCAAGAACTAAAAATAAGGATACATAAACAACATTAATTTCTTAAAGGGACTTATTTAGGCACTGTTTTTAGAGGCGGTTTTGCCGCACCGGTCACACATCTGTGAATATTTCATACAACCCTCGTGTGACCATCTATCACATCGAGTGCACTGGAACCAGTCATCCTTTTTCCTAGTCACTGAGTAGTTTTCGCGGCAACCAGTACAATCGTTTTCATCCCATTTTTCGTCACCGCTTTCGCTGTCTTGCAAAATAATTTCACTCTCTGAGTTGCTATCATCACTATAATCTTCTTTTAATCTCTTTGTTATTGGTCGTTTCTTTTTAGCTCTTTCTTTGCTCGACTTGTTTTTTATTTCGGCCTTCTGTTTTTTTTGTTTTTGCAGCTCAATATTTTCTGGACTTGTCAAAACATTGGCTACTTGACGGGCACACTTTCTAACCGTATTAACAGCAGATGTATTAATAACAGGCGCAATTTCATTCAGGGCCATTCCTGGGGTAATTTCTGTTGTTTGGGCTTGTTGTTCATTTGGACAGTTTGGAGGGTTCAAACCATTGTAATCGGGATCTTTGGAGCAACCAGCAACTGGCGATAGTGTCTTGGAGCAACTAGCAACTGGCGATAGTGTCTTGGAGCAACTAGCAACTGGCGATAGTGTCTTGGAGCAACTAGCAACTGGCGATAGTGTCGGAGCAATGTTTGGATTAGATGTTAAAGAAATTGCGTGTCTGTTGGGAATACCATCAGTTTGATTAGCAGAATTCGAAACTAACGTATCGCTTAAGTACGCATAATCTGGAATGATACTGGGATTAAACGGTAGGATTCCTGTGACTTTGAAGCCAGAAATGGCGTTTTGAACAGTAGCTGATTTGTTCCAAGCTTCTCCAAGTAATTTGCCGAATTGGTACCGGGTTATTTTCCTAGAAGGATTTGTTTCCATAAATCGGTTACACTCAGAATAATAATGTGATTTAAGTGATTTAAAGAACGACCTATCTAAGGGCTGTAGAAAATGTGTCGTATGGCTAGGCAGACACAGTAAAATAATTTCATTTGCTTCACAAAATTCTAATACTTCTACAGAGTTGGTGTGCGATGTGTGCCCATCTAAGATAATTAAGGCGGTACCAGCAGGCTTTCTTGGCAGGAAATGCTCCTCTAACCATTTCTTATTTCTTATAACAGCATTGATGTAAGCTGATTTCTCGTTCATTACAATGGCAGACTCTGGAGGCATTCCGTCCTTATTACATTCCTTAAGGTTTTTTCCTTTTAAAATACATAGGGGGTAGAAAAACACCTTCTGCACTGCAACATGCTACAATAGAAATGTTTTCCCCCTTTTCGCCAGAAGTTATGTTGGATACAGTTTTAGACCCTTTTTCCGCTATAACATACCCAGGTTTATTATTTAACTGTAGGCCACTTTCATCAATATTAAAATATTTCCTGGCTTCTCAAATAATTGATATTCGGTTAAAACATTTTCAAGAACAGAAAAATACTCTTCCACTACGGTTTTATTCACTCCTACAGCACGCGCATTTGATACTCCTTCTGCCTTTCTAACTGATAAATCTGCATGCCTTGATAAGAATAACTGCAACCAATCATACCAGGCTTTTTTCTTTATTTTATTAAAGTTGTGCTTAATTTTAAGTTTCTCAGCAAGTTCAAAAGCCATGCTTCTTACCAGATCACGATTTGGAGTAAAACCATACTTCTGCATTTTTTTAATGTGGGAAACTAACTTCAGTTCAGCTTCTTCATTAAGGCAGGACTGCTTCCCCAATGAACGTGACTTTGATGACTTTTGTAATTTTATTCTGTTTTTAAGCGTAGTTTTAGGTATTCCATATTCCCTTGCAGCTTGATTAACACCTAATGAACCCGTGGAAACAGCATTCATTGCATTTTGAAGGGCCTCTGCGCTCCAAGTAGCTCTTTTGACTGTGCCTTTCCTTTTATAAAAAGTCGGCATTATGCTGTCTAAAACATAACAATGGTCTAACTAACCCAAATTATTTGGTCCAACTAACCCATTTACATGGGTTAGATGGACCACCTTGTCAATACGGCCTAGTACTATTCAGCGATAAAGATATTAGGTTAAACTGTACTTTGTTAAGGTAGCAACAATCTACTATACAATCGGCAAAAAATACTTACATATATTTTTTTTACAGCATGTAATACTAAACTATAGAATTTTTTTTATTACTAACATGTGCACACTAACTAAGCTTCTGTGTGACTGAACGCCGCCAGACAAACAAAAACAATATTTTAATATTTGGATTCGTCCAACGGAAGGGTGCCCGGGTGTAGATGTATAAAAAATTAAATAACACGTAGAATTTTGGCACTGGTCGATCTAACCCGATGGTCCAACTACCCCGGAATTACCCTATGACATATTTTAATCTTTTTCACCTTTTACTATTTTTTTTTGTACTTCATTCGGATGCATTCGGAGTTAAATGGAAGAGCAGAAGCATTATGCTTCTGAATTTCGCTCCACTCCAAAATTGGGTTTTGATTATTTATATGTATATATATATTCTGATGGTGTAATTACTTAATTTCTATGATTTCTTACTATTTTAATGTATTAATAATTAACTGTATTTTATTTTACTTTTTTTTGGAAATAAAGGCATTACACACACCTATAAATTTTTAATGCTTTATTCATCATATTATGATGTTTTTTTGAATTTATAGGTGTGTCATTTTCTTCGAATTCTAAGTAGCTAGTTTTCGAAATGTACGATAAATTCAGTTGTTAATACGGCGGTTGTCAACGCTGCGTACGGCTTGATTGGCAATGCATCCATGGTTTTACTCACTTGATTAATTGTTGATGCGTTGTTTCAGATGTCGACTGAGACTGAATCTACCAATACAGCCTGCTAAATATACCTGCGGAAAATAAGGAAGATCAGAAAGTCCTCAATAATTTAAAAGGTCTGGCATCCGAGGCCTTACCGGAAGGTTGGAAGAATTGGAAAGTGGCCTGTGTGGACAGAGAAACTTTATTTGGAAAGGAAATAGATCCGCAGATCCTTAATAAGGTTCGTTTTGCTCTTCCCACCATCGGCATCGCCAAGGCTTTTACTGAGGGCGCACGTAGCTTACCTGAACGTATTTATAGGGACTACAAAACAAAAATGTTATCCTGGCCCTTTTGCGTTTCTTTAATAATCGATCCACCGCAATTAGCAGCTCAGGTAAGAGGTTCACCGCTTCGCAATGAGATTGTTTTGGCCGCTAGTAACAGCGCTAATCTTAAACCATTGTTTATTTAAAGAATTCAGAGTGAGTTTGCATTGGATTCCTCGTCAGATGATGAACCTGGAAATATGAAAAAAGCTAAGCGCCAGCATTATCTAAACAATCCCGAATGAATAGATTAGAAAGAGGAACAAGAGCTTCATGATATGTTTATCGGCTTTATGGAGCGTTTTAACCCCCCAGAAGATGCAGATGAGTCCGAAGGCGTAGACGACGTTGACGATGACGTCTTGCAAAGCAACACCGATGGAGAGGAATCTGTAAAATTAATACAGCATTTTTCCAGAATTAGTACAGCATCCGCCTAGTATGCAGGACAAGTTTGATTTTGAGCCAAAACTAAAGAACTGGAACCGCCGATGTCAGAGGCAGAAAAGCTCGCAAGGGAATCGAATGCCAGCGCCTAGGGTAGCTTTCTTTCAATAAGATAAGATAAGCAGATGTTCAGTAGAAACTTCAGGCTACTCCAGTCTTCGGTACACTTCAGTTAAACCAACAGCTTGAAAATATTGTTCCCCGAGCACATTTCTACGATTCTCTAGCTAACATGGATGGAACCCTGGGTACCCTAAACCCATGGTTTGTTACTGCAAAGAGAAGCATTCTCGAATGGCATAAAGGAGATTGTTTCTAAATTCCCTCCGTCAGGAAAACACCTTTTTGAAGAAGTCCAGCTTTCGGAACTTTATAAACAACATACTTCTGCTTTTAAACAGCCCTTTCGTGTGCCCGACAAGCCTTTTCAGAAGGAGATGCAAAAAAATCAGAAGGTTGAAGAAAACAGGAGTTCCGCTAGATGATTCAGGTCTAACTCAAAGACCACGAAAAAGGATTACACTAAAGCGCAATCCTTCAAACAAGCGGGAAGCAACTCCAGAAAAAAAGCAGCATCAAGAAGTAAACCCTACGAGACACCGTCACCATCATATCGGTGACAACATTGACAATCAAAGTTTTCAAGGGGGCCTTTCCAATTATGTAAAGGCGTGGGTAGTCCAGGGCGCTTCAAATTGTATCATAAGGACTATCAGCGGCTACTCTATTCCCTTCATAAAAAACCTCCATTAAGAACCCTGTCAGCAAGGAATGCCCCCCAGCTGGGATGAAAAAAGAAATATCCAAAATGTTACTGCAGGGGGTACTAGAGGTCTCAACGGAAAGGACAGGATTCCTTTCAAAAATGTTTCCAGTCAAGAAATTACATGGTACGATTCGCTCGGTTCTGAATCTAAAAGGACTCAACAGATACCTTCAACCAAGAAAGTTTCCATTAATCAATTATCAAAAGGTACCCATTTTCCTTCAGGAACAAGATTACCTGTGCAAGATCTCGCAGGCATACTTCCATATACCTATCAAAACTCAACACCGTCGATTTTTGTCAATCATTCACGAAGCCAAAGATTGACTTGCCTTCCCGGTGACTTGACCAGATGACTTGCCTTCCATTTGGCCTTTCGACAGCGCCTCTAACATTCGGAAGAGTGTCAAACTGGTTGGCACAGGTATTAAGATCACACGGAGTCCGAGTCATAGTCTATCTCGACGACTTCATGTTGGCAAGTCAGAGTCTTCCCACTCTTCAAACGCAGCTAAGGTTCACCTTAGATCTTTTTTTCAAACTCGGCTGGGAGATACGTAGAAAAAACGTGGAAAAAACACAGAAAACTCCACAACAAGTAGTACAGTTTCTGGGGATAACATGGAACACTAAAAACGGAGCTATTTCACTACCAGGCGAGAAGGTGTCATCATTGAAAAAAAGATCTTCAGAAACTAATACGAACTGCCAGATGGTCTTGGAAGGATGCAAAGCGAATCCTGGGAAAAATCAATTTTGCCAGTTTTGTAATTCCGCTGGGTCGCCTAAACTCAAGACGCATGCAGATATCATCTCGCATCCTTCCCGAATGCCGTTCGAGACAGCGGTTCGTCATGCCGAGGGAGGCACTGGCCGAATGCCGCTGGTGGTCAAGAAACCTGATGAAATTAAGTCCTATATTATCCCGAACTTTTAACGACAGACGCATCAGATACTGGTTGGGGAGCCCAACTGGGCCCGTATTCTGTAACTTTGGCATAAAAACGTTACGCTTTCAAAGCGGTGAGCGCAACTTATTTTTCTATGGATATGTCATTATTCTTATTATACGAGGGAAATTGCCACGCCCTTTCTAATTTGAAGTTCAATAAAACACAAAGTTTACTTAATCGGTAATGAGTTGCATAGAGGCCACTAGCTTTTTAATTTTAACAGCCGGGTGGTCGGGGTTGAAAGATATTAATAAAAGGGCGCCACGAGATTATACTCTATGAACTCGGCATAAAAGATGTTACTATTAAGTATACTTCAACACTAACCTCGAACTGTTGAGTGTAACTACCATGAACTTCAAATGTTACTATAATTATTTAAACTTAAGTGACTCTAACTTAACTATGAGACTAGACTGTAAATAATACTACTAAAAATATTTAATCTATTTATTAAAATATTAAAAAGTTATAAAGAAAAGAAATGAATGAAATGTAAATGATTGAAATATATTAAGTCAGAATTTAAATCAATAAAAACTAAATCTATGACGTCATCCCCCTTAACTTAAACTAAGTATGCTCTAAGGGCGGAATACAAATATCAAACTAAATCTAACTAATATCTAAACGATCTTACTCTACAGTGTAATGTCTTGACAAGAACTTGAAAACTACTCGGAAGTTCCTCCGGCTGAGCTTCGGTGTATAGCAATGGGGTAGCTACAGCAGGCTACAGCAGCTCGATGTACTGTCACTGGAGCCCGTCAGCAAACGTACAGATACCAAGCAGGTGTAGGACTTCAACAGGTGACATAAAAAACCCTAAATAACATTGGTTGTCTTAGAAAAGTGCCTCAATTATAGAACAAGGACTAGCACAACGTGTAGGAGTTAATAAAGGTAATAAAGAAGGACTAATCAAATCTGAACTTTACCTCAACGAGGGAGATTATGATGTCCAACGGGTACCTCTACACGGGCAACAAGATGGAATTCTGGACTGTTCTGTGCACTACGATCTGGATCGGTCTTCTTGCTCTACAATTACGAACAACCAAATAAGACTTAAGAAAGATATCACTCAACTAATCTTTCTACACCACGTGGGTGTGGAAAAGTCGAAAACCAGTCAACAATATGAACAAAAATCAGTTGAGCATTGACTTAGAATAGGCAGAAGAATTATAGCATACCTTGGAACTATTCGGGGACTTCTTGGGCACGTGGAATCGGAATATCGGTCGCAGAATTTGGCTATTTTAATCCCATTGCGGAAATTGGTCGGCGGTCCAAACAAATCAACAATATCCAACCACGTGTCTGACCAAAGGTGTTTCGGAAGCCTTAATCCTTCTTTACGAAGACCTGCTATTCACCAACAGGGAATGCTTCACGAAACGGCAGCCAGTTCTTCACGACGACATTCGGACGGTGGGTACACAAGAAGTGATGCAAGGATTCGATTTCCTTCACAAAATCAGATTTCAACCGCAAATCTCCCTCCAGGATATAGATAGAGAACTATATATCTTGACTAGTCCAACTCACAAAAAGGCATAAATAAAAAATTATGTTTTCTCCTCAGCCATATTCCATATCCGGTCAATGAACGAACTAAACTCAGAAATTCCACAATTAAAAGAACGAATTGCACACTGCGATCCACATCAAAAATAACCAATTTAACTACGAAATTTTATCTGATAATTATAAAATTTCAATAACCAAAACAAAGGATAAATAAATCCAAAAACATCTGATTTGATCTGACAGTGACAAGTAACGGAGGTGATGATCAAAGATATAGAGAGATGGATAAAAAGCCTACTACTGGGCCAGTGATAATGTGGAGCTGAAACCAGTATAATATCGCGGTGTATATTCGGTTGCATAATGGTAAAATACTAAATAAAATAATATTTAACAATAAAATTATAGTAAACATGATGCAAAAATAATAGTTATTTGCGATAATTTATGAGCTAGCACACAGAGGTCGTTGCGAGGAAATGTGTTCGATGTTTTGAACAATATTTATAGCTGTCAAGTAAATTATCAATTACTTATTGAGGAATTTATAGAAGAAGTAGTAATTTTCACTAAAGAGCAACATAACGCACAAAATCACAATTTTTTCGATTTTCACTGACAGTTCGACAAGCAAAAGAATCCTTTAAGGCAACCGTTTTCAAAACGCTCAGCGCAATCAGTAAAGACGCTAAGCACGTCAGACGAGAATACCGAAATCGCTAATTAAGTGCGCGCTCAGCGAAAATTAACGTCATATACGCTGAGCGTCTAAAAGCGCTTAGCGTTTTCAAAGTTACAGAATACAGGCCCTGCCCGACAAATCAATAAAAGGGTTGTGGGAGCCACACCAAATATCTTCCACATATTCCACACACCAAATATCTGCCACACCAAATTCTTCCACATAAATCGAAAAGAGCTATTTGCGGTCCTCAGCGCGAGACAAGCCTTCAGGAAGTACTTGAGGGAACGGTCAATTTTATTACAAACAGACCACAGGACAATGGTGGCTTATCTGAGAAATCAGGGCGGCACGCGATCCATCATTCTTCTAAAGCTAGCCTCGACAATTCTAACCTGGCACACAATCTGTAGATGGCACTTTCTACTCAATACATTCCAGGCAGCTACAACGCTCTGGCGGACAGCTTGTCAAAAAACAAACCATACCCCGATTGGCATCTGTCGAATCATGTAACGCACCAAGTGTTTCAGAAATGGGGTCTACCAGAGATCGATTTGTTTGCGACAAACCAGTCCAAGTTGGTAGCGAACTATGTGTCAATAAACCCAAAAGACAAACAAGCGGTTTTTATCAACGCATTCAGCAGGACGTGGGAATACAAGTTAGCATAGATATTTTCCCCACCATCGTTGATTCCAAGGGTACTCAGACATCTAAATACGGTTCAAGGGATATTTCTTTTAGTAGTACCTCGATAGAAGAGGATATTTTGGAGAGCAGACTTACGTCGTCAACCTCTACGCTTCAACCTCTACCTCAGACCAAAAGATTAAATTTGGAGGTCTGGAAGGTACGGGGTGGTCTTGTAGCGTTTTATTTTTCTTTTTATAAAATTCCAAATTTTAATATTGCTGGCGCCATCTATTCGCTAGATGTTAAACTTCATTCAGTACAGGTAGCGGTTCCTTTCCATAAAAACAAATTTCATTCAGTATAGACGATAGAGTTCGCTTAATTGCCTTTGGTCATATGACCTGTCAATTCGAAGACTTCCGTTTTGCGAAAAGGAGGAAGGGGACTTTTTTCCGAGAGATTGAGATCAGAAAAGACGCGTGGTTCAGCGTCCGACGAATCTCAGAGAAAAGGGCTTTCTGAAACACTTTTCCTAACAGTAAAGACACGGGTATCCAAAGGTGGAGATTTGAAATCCTGTAGAATATACTGTTCAGAGCCTAGTTCGTGTTTTTTTGGCCTTTTCCTGGAATAAGATCACAGTAAGTGTATCTACCATTTTGTATCGCCATGTCTAACTAAATTTTATTTCAGTTATTCCCGTTTTTTATTTATTTTGATAATGTTTGATTGTGCATTACTGGTTTGGATCAGCATATAGTTTGGCTATATTTTGGATGGTGTACAGCTGATTTTCAGACCGTAAGTTATTTTTTTGGTATTCGGTGACTGTTCTGAGAGTTTTTTTTATAGAGTAACTGGCGTATAAGAAATTGACGTATAAGTAATTGGCATAGGAGTAACCACTTTTGAGACAGTATTTATGACTCTACATTTATTCTACTGATATCGAAGACTCCTGCTACTATCGAAGAGTCTACATCCACTTCCTTTAGTCTGGAGACTGCCTGCCTACCTGTTCACTACGTCATAAATTAAAAAAAAAATACAGATAAGTTCTAAGTTCAACACACAAGGTATTCCCTAAATTTTTTTTACTTTGAGATAATATTTTGAATATCTCTGTGAATTGTTGTCATTTATTCCATATATTATAGTCAAAATTTACCTTTTAGTTAACATTATAAGTCATGCTTTGTCCTTAACGGTACGTTTTACTTCAGTATGATCTTTTATGTGAGAATCGCTAACACGGATTCATTTTTGAAGGGTATTGTACACGACTTGTTTCGAAACATCATCGTATTGGTACTTACATAAATTTCACCTGTTTATATATTACGTAGTATAGTATACTGGAGAGAACTTTAACTAAATTTGAGTTTACTTAAAGTAACTAACGATTTCATTGGGATAATTAAAACTGGGTTTAAACTGATTGATAATTGTGTTCGTCTTTAAATAAATGTTCAACGTAGGATAGTTATATCTGACTTTTATTCTTGATGAACATAATAGACCCTTATTGCTGTTGATTATTTTATTTTAGCTATTTCATGATCAAATTTTCTTACTGGTTTCTTACTTTACCTTTTCATACTCAAAGTAAGTGGCGCCCTTTTTACTGTCTTTGACCATTACTATTTGAATACTTAACATCAATTTTAGAATCTTTGCAGCCTATACATTATTACTTTTATTTTATTATTTAACAACATTATTAAGTCACCACAGGACACAAGCCTTACCTACGAACCCAGCTCTCCTCTAACCCTGAGCAACGGATACCTTTTTCTTTCTGTTTGAGTGATGACAGAAAAAGTCGTCACAGTCTAAGCATCTGAGTTCTTGGGCTGAAGATCAGGAGACTTTTAGAAACATCGTGGCGAGCTTCCTCACTAAAAACATACTCGGCTCCCTGGACGGCATGGTTAAAATACTGCAAAGAAAAAGGCAATCAACTTGTGTCCTGAATGGAAAGAAGCTCGCCTAACTCTTCTAATCTTCAATTGTCACGCCATGTAGCACTTATTTTGCTGCTAGCGAGTGGTCGACGAATACATGATCTAACTTTACTAAAAATTGATGATAAAAGCTATACAGACGAAGAAACTTGTATCACCTTCTGGCCGGAATTTGGTTCAAAAACGGACTCTAAATCGTTCAGATAATCCGGCTGAAAATTACTTAAGTCAAATAGGTCTAATCTAGATCTAGTATACTGGGTTCGAAGACTTATACAACAATCGGTTGCAATAAAAATGGCCAGAGATAGCCTTGTCTGTCTTTTCATAACGACTAGAGGCACAGTTGGCCTGGCTTCTAGGACGGTTATTGCCGGTTGGGTAAAAACCGCGTTTAAAGCAGATAATATTTTTCAGCGCCAGGTAGTATTAGATCGGCTGTCGTATCTTCTCGATTTATAAATAAGACATCTTTGGACACAATTATTAAACAACGGAACTGGGCAGAGAAAGGAACCTTTCTTAGGCAATACTACAAAGAAATATCAGATTGTCCAGGTGGATCAAAGGCTCAGGAACTAACTCAGAAATTATTTCTACCTTTATCTCTTGACTGAACTTTTTGTATTAAGGTTTGTGGTTTGGTTTGGTTTGAACTGGTTTGGTTTCCTGAACCTGTATTAATAATTAGGAAAATTGTTAAATATATATATATAGAAAATCTGGGATTTAGTGGGGTTGCAGTCGGAAGGGTTTGACAAAGAATTAATACACTTTGTTAATTGTCAAGCTTTCGGAATTTATTTATTCCTTCCTCAGGACACTAAAATGGAAATACAAGTTAGACAATTGCTGTTATAAAAGTTAAGAATAAGACTTACTTAACGTGGTACAGAAAATACCTTCATAAAAACTACATTAAACATGGTTTGTGTTGATAACTCCACCGTGAAAGCATCGCTGACCAGTCAACCACAAGGACTCTTATAAGGCGGTTAAGCCGCCAAATATAAGTTAGAACATTAGAATAATTAAGAGATGTTAGAAATTTTTAAATTAAAGAATTTTTTGCGTCTCAATCCGAAGCGTGGAGGCGCAAAACAATTGACAGGCGACAACCGCGACATCCAAACGTCAAAAGTCAATTGTCAGAAGTCAAGTTAGTAAAAGTGATCTATGGATGTCGAACAAGGCTGTGGCATGTCCATCATTGTATTCATGTAAAAAACCAATGGTGTGGGTGGTCATGTAGAAAAGTGGAGTGATCAAGGCACAACACTAAAAAAACACTAAAAAACATTAATAAAACACCCTTACTCGTGCAACGAGAGCAAAAAACAATTAGGTGGTAAAAATACAATTACATTTACAATTCAGAAAATGTCACCAAATATCTGCAACCAGAAAAACACCGAGCGCAATCAGAAAAAGAATTTTCTTATAAGCAATTGAATAAACATTAGGATGTGCTAAAAATTCTGAAAAAAGGACAAGAGGTGCAATGCAAACACTTAGAAAAGGCCAAATGTGAAGAAGGTAATGAGGAAAATATGACAATAATGTTCATATTAATCAATGTGAAAAACTGTCACAACAAATCATTAAATTGTACAAATTTTTCTTTCACAATTTTTTATTAAATTCACAGGAAATTCATGAACCAAACCTTTTCATAGTATTGGCAATACCTCCAAAATTACAAAATTACATAAGGTGTAAAAAACTACAGAAACACACTCCGCAAAAAGGGGAAGAACAGACAAAATCAGTCTCTGTCTGTTCCCCCCCCTTGTCTGTTCCCCCCCTTTTTGCGGAGTTGTAATTTTGGAGGTATTGCCAATACTATGAAAAGGTTTGGTTCATGAATTTCCTGTGAATTTAATAAAAAATTGTGAAAGAAAAATTTGTACAATTTAATGATTTTTTGTGACAGTTTTTCACATTGATTAATATTAACATTATTGTCATATTTTCCTCATTACCTTCTTCACATTTGGCCTTTTCTAAGTGTTTGCATTGCACCTCTTGTCTTTTTTCAGAATTTTTAGCACATCCTAATGTTTATTCAATTGCTTATAAGAAAATTCTTTTTCTGATTGCGCTCGGTGTATTTCTGGTTGCAGATATTTGGTGACATTTTCTGAATTGTAAATGTAATTGTATTTTTACCACCTAATTGTTTTTTGCTCTCGTTGCACGAGTAAGGGTGTTTTATTAATGTTTTTTAGTGTTTTTTTAGTGTTGTGCCTTGATCACTCCACTTTTCTACATGACCACCCACACCATTGGTTTTTTACATGAATACAATGATGGACATGCCACAGCCTTGTTCGACATCCATAGATCACTTTTACTAACTTGACTTCTGACAATTGACTTTTGACGTTTGGATGTCGCGGTTGTCGCCTGTCAATTGTTTTGCGCCTCCACGCTTCGGATTGAGACGCAAAAAATTCTTTAATTTAAAAATTTCTAACATCTCTTAATTATTCTAATGTTCTAACTTATATTTGGCGGCTTAACCGCCTTATAAGAGTCCTTGTGGTTGACTGGTCAGCGATGCTTTCACGGTGGAGTTATCAACACAAACCATGTTTAATGTAGTTTTTATGAAGGTATTTTCTGTACCACGTTAAGTAAGTCTTATTCTTAACTTTTATAACAGCAATTGTCTAACTTGTATTTCCATTTTGTGTCTCTGAGGGAAGGAATAAACCGAAAGCTTGACAACAACAAAGTGTATTAATTTTGTCAAACCCTTCCGACTGCAACCCCATTAAATCCCAGATTTTCTTTCTCTCACTAGTCAGTCGAGACTACTTTCTGCTTATATATATATATATATATATATATATATATATATATATATATATATATATATATATATATATATATATATATATATATATATATATATATATATATATATATATATATATATATATATATATATATTTTTTTTTCTTGTTATATATACTTGCATATAGAAAATCCAGGAACTAGTGGGGTTGCAGTCAGAAGGGTTTGGACTAGAATTAATACACTTTGTTAGTTGTCAAGCTTTCGGAATTTATTTATTCCATCTTCAGGACATCAACGTGGTAAAAAGACCTCCATAAAAACTACATTAAAAAATAGGCTTGAGGTATACATTGAAAACTCCACAGTAAAAACATCGCTGACCAGTCAACCACACTAAGGGCTATCGATTATAATTTGTTATGTAAGCATGGGTAGACGAAAGCATGCTAGCAGAGATTCTAAAACAAGTGAGTCTGATCTGATGCGGATATTGGACGAAAGCGATCAAAGAGAAGTAGCCGTGAAGATTTGAATGGTAAAAATAATAATGAACGGCGGTCACGTACGCCTCCATCATGTGATGTTTTGCCGAGAGAAGAAAATCTTGCTCCACCCAATGCCATAACAGTAGAGACAGTCATTCATCATGAAGACACGAGAGTCAGGGAAAATTCCGCAACTTTTGAGGAAGCTTTCACGTCATCGGCATCGGTTACATCACGTGTCGATCGCCTCGAACAACTTTTGTGCAATAAAGGCAAAACAGAGAATACCGTCCTGTTTCATTAAGGAAATGAAAACTTGTCAGCGGTTAAGTAGCTGGAAAAAGTAGACCAAATAAAGCAAATTAATAACTGGGATATAAATCACCACGATCTACCAAGTGCAATCAAGGCTCACTGGGATGGCGCGCAATTGATACCACAGTTTAACGGTTTATCCTACTTCTTGGATTGAATGGAAAGTTTTAATTGCAAAAACTTTTCCAGATCATGTTGATTACGCAGTAGCTCTTCGTAAAATGTTAGGTAGGACCAAGTTACGCAATGAAACGATGACTACTTACTATTTTAACAATGCAAGCAGTATATTAAAGGAAAGCCAGTACGCTTTGGTTATAAAGCTTGGGTTGCTGCGTAAAATCTGGATACTGCGTGCAGTTTCAAATTTACCAAGAAAGAACAAATAAAAACGAAAAACAAACAATGGGTCTTGGTGAATCAGTTGTAACTAACCTTGCGGAGCTCTTGATAGACCGTTTTTCTGGTCTAAAATTTTCATTTTATTTCGATAATTTTTTTACTCCGGCTAAATTGATTTGCAATCTCGGCGAAAAAGGTTTTGGTGCTACAGGTACGGTACGTGAAAACAGAATAGGAAATTGCACAGTAAAAAGTCATGCTGTTATGAGAAAAATGGATCGGGGAGCAATGGATGTGGCCGTATAACAAGATAGTTGGAGTGTGTTGGAAGGACAACAGTATAGTACAATACTCTCAAATGAATATGGAATGGAGCCTATACAAAGATGCAAGAAAGAAAAAAAGAAAGTGGATGTTCCTCAACCATTTCCTATCAAACGTTATAATCAGGACATGGGAGAGAGATGGATGAAACGGGGGTACAAACGGTCCCGAATATACTTCCAAAACACGTAGCCCCCAAGGGAAAGAAAGAAGTCGCTAAGGCTGTAGCAGCGGAGCAAGGTCAAACAGTATCCGCCGTGTGTGCAGTGAGTCCTATAGGCTATTTTGTGCCTCCTTTTTTTATATACGCAAGAAAAAGAGAAGATCGGCTTCTTATTAAAGGTGATCCATTAGGATGCGAGATGGCTGTAACCGATAAACGGTACAAAAACACTCCCACTTTCATCAAATGGCTGAACCATTTCAAAAAGTATGCCAAACCAAGTGACAGCAACCCCATTTTACTAATACTTGACAATCATGTGTCCCACACAAGCCGTGAAGCAGTTACTTTCGCAAAATCAAACAATATTCACCTCCTTACTTTGCCACCCCACAGCAGCCACAAAACCCAACCTCTTGACCGTTGTATATTTCGACCACTGAAGGCTTATTACGATGTGGCCGTAGATTCATGGGACGTTTCTCATCCAGGAGAAACCTTCAGTGTTTACAACGTTGCTGAATCATTCAAGATAGCTTTTGAAAAAGCAAGCTCGGTTGAAAACGCAGCTGAAGCTTTCAAAACTACTGGTATTTTTCCATTTGATGCCAATATCTTCTCGGACGCTGATTTTTTGCCGTCAAAAGTGACAGACCAGTCTCCAGGATGAAGATGATCGAATGGTATTATTTAAAGAAGAGAATGATGAAAGATGTGACTACAACCTCAGATCTTGCTGTTGGAACAGAGCAGCCTATGCAACAAGGCAACAATCATCCTGACATTGCAACACCTACGGTTGATACCGACCCTGTTGAGACATCAATAGCTCCTGCCGATATAATTCCTCTACCTAAAATAAAAATTAAAAGGAAACATAAAGGAAAAGGGTTGAAGTCCGAGTTACTTACGTCAACACCGAATAAGTAATGTTTGGGAAACGGAGCAGCTGAAAAAGAAAAGCAAGCTACTGAAAAGGAGCAACGTTTAATGGAAAAGCAAAAACGCGCTAAAGAAAACGCAACAAGGCAGCTCTTCTCGCTCACCAACACAAGGAGAAGAAAGATAAATTCTGACGAAGATTCTTCTGATACGGACGCAGATTACTCGATTCGTGACTGCAGCTCTGATGGTGATTTTATAGGTGATGATGATGGAAACGATCAAGTTAAAGGTTTTGAGAACTCACAGGATGACTCTGCATTGATGTTGCCAAATGACTAAGCTGTAATTAAAGTGGATGGCAAAACAAAAAATTCTTTGTTGCCACTTTGTTGCCAAGATCGCTTCTTTTTATCAAGATGGTTATAACGTAGTATTTTACAAGCGATTACCAAATACTTACAAATTTTCGGAAACAAATGAAGAGTCCTTCGTAGAAATCAAGGATGTTGTTTTAAGATAGTCAAAACCTATTCTTAATCTCTCTGCTAGGTTTCACAATGTGCTTACTTTCAAAGAAGATGTAAGAAGTTTCCGTATGTTTTAATCAACTTTTTACTTGTTCTTCATTGATCTTATTCTTTTAATAAAAAAAGTTTTTTTATGAAACTGTTTTATTATTCATCCACTTTATTCATCAATGGGGTAAACCACCGCGCGCGGGGAGTTGCCCTATTTGGTGGGGCAAAACCGACGGGTGGACCGACGCACAGTGCTTTGAAGGATAGGGTTTGCGGACGAAAATGAAATAAAGCATATAAACGGGTTTTTAAAAACATGTTTAATTAAGAAAAAATCTTGATTGTAAATAATAAATCAAATAAACTCAATCGTGAACGTAAACTAAATAAACTTTAAGAAAAATTATGTTCTGTCTCAGAAACCAGTCACAAATCACAAAATTCTTTGCTCTAAAAAAATATAAACAAACATAATACATTCGGAAACTATAATAAACTTTAACAAAACTTTTCTGCTTCACACACTAACAAAAAAATCAGAAAACTTTATTGTAAAAAATGTAAATTACAGAACACATTCGTAAACTAAACAAAGTTTAACAAAAAAATCATTTTCTGTCTCAGACACAGTAACAACGAAACCAAAATTATAGATTGTAAAAAATCAACGAAAAGAGAACACATTCCTAAACTATAATAAACTTCATCTTCAACAAGAATCGTCTTCTGTCTCAGACTCAGTATCAAAATGTAGAGAAATTTCCGAGAGAGAATCCGCTATTAAAGAATGGTCTACATCCCTATCAGAAATCATCAAGATACTCCGCAATTTTGCTTAAATCGTCATTTTTAGATGACTTTTTCAATGATGGATTTCCATTTGTTAAAATTAGGGGATCAGAGCCAAGTAGTAGTGAATTCATAAGATCTTTCTTTGTATCTTTCCGGTTGGTTTTGCGTGTAAACGATAATCTATTTTTTCGAATCACTTTGTGTGTCGCCTCTAGTGCTTCCTCGGAGAGAAGGCCTATTACTAAATCACAAAAATGTATTACCTCACAACCATGCACAAGAACCTTATGTACACTGCTTGGTAAATAATACCAACTATAAAGAGTGATATATAACTCAAAGATCTCGTCAAGTAAAACGCCAAACTTCTCGGTGTTTATATTTTAAAGCTTGATAAAATTCGCAAAATGATGTGAAATTTTTTTATCAAATTAATGTCAACATTGGTAACTGGTAACTTATTTCACTGTTGCTGAAAAACCGCCTTGCTGTGTTTCCGTCATTCGTTACCAAACCATATCCTGGTTTGACTTTATCCACAATGAGGCCTAAACGGTTCTTGAATTATTTTTTTTATTATTTTCAAATAAGACTTTGTCTTCCGCATTTATGACTTGCCACTTCTTGATCCGAATTCTATATGAGATGTGAAGAAGGCATTCAAAAAACCGTATTAAGCAATGTAATGTGTATAAGCCAAAACGGTAATGATCAGCATTGGGCGGTTTTTCAGCAACTTTTTTCGAATTCATTTCTTTTGGCGTAGCTTGACAAATAAAGCACCTAGCTGCCGAATTAGTGTTTAAAAGTATGTTTCCAATGCTACCATCTAGCATTGTAAAATGCATTTGAAAATCAGCCCTAACTACCTTGCCATTTAGTTCACACTGGTAAGCAGCAAGATTCTCTATCTGTTCATTAATGTATGCAAAGTGTTCTTCGACCAACTCTTTTTTTTCCTTGGTAAATATGGATTTTATTGGCCGGCAAAAGTGTGTAGAAGAACAGTGAGGGTTTGCCCAAAGTTCTCATTGAACAATTTCAATGAGACCAGAGCAATTACAAACAAAAATTCGTCAGTTTGTTGCGAATTTTCTGTAAACTTTTGTTTGTAAATGCTGTGGCCTGAGCTCCCATCGAATCCCCATTTACATACAAGTTTCAAATTACTAATATTTTCATTATCTACCAGGTGCAAAATACTTTTAGCCGTCAAATTTAAAAGATGTTGTAAATATATTTCAGCTGAAGTATCTGTAACTTGTATGTCTGATGGCAGAAAATGATTTTTCATTCTTCTTAAGCTATAAACTGAAGAGAAACTCCTAAACTTCTAATGTACTTCCTTTCAGTTAAACCCAGATCTAAATAAAGTGCTATAAGACTGTGCATATGTATAGATTTTATATGACCAGAATTTTTTGATGTTTTTTATAATTTACAATTATTTTACATATTTGATAACAATACTTTATACATTTTTTTACATGTAAAATATATAAAAAAAGTGTTTATTGCAGAAATTGTATTTCTCTGATTATAATTCCCTACTCCTCGCCTGCCTCTGAAGAAATCCAGTCTGAGTAGCATTATTTAAGCATTATTTATTTAAACTTATGTCCATCAAATCTTTAGCTTAAGTTAGAATGCTTTGTTTATGTAACGTTTTTTTGGTTTTATTTATTATATTTAGTTAGGTTAAAGTTTTATTGTAATATATTTCGTCAAAATAAAATAAATTATTTTCATTATTCAATGTTGGTTTTATTTAAAGTAAATTTGCTTGTGCTTTGGGTTAGTTTGATTTTTCCTATATATTAATGCATATTATCTGCTCCTATCGCCTTAATACCACTATTGCATTCAATATTTGTGATAAAATATTCTAACATGTCACCCATATCCATAATATAGGTATTTTACAAGTTTTATAAGTGTCCGAAGCGATAGCGATATTAACCCGCCGTTACTAACGTGCGGTCTCTGAGACCGACTGGTATTAAAGAAGTCCGATAATTCGGCAGACTTCACGGGAAAATTTCTATGCACCTAGGTAACCTTCATAATTTGACGCCAATTATTCAGTGTATGATCGGCAACCGTACAGCTCAGGTTGTTTGGTATTTATTAGGAAATGTGATCCATAATATAATTTATAGCGATATTAACCCGCCGTTACTAACGTGCGGTCTCTGAGACCGACTGGTATTAAAAAAGTCCGATAATTCGGCAGACTTCACGAGAAAATTTCTATGCACCTAGGTACCTTCCTAATTTGACGCCAATTATTCAGTGTGTAAGCGGCAACCGTACAGCTCAGGTTGTTTGGTATTTATTAGGAATTTCGGTGTGCCAGACCGACGTTAGTAACCGTGTGACTATATTTTGTTAAGTGCGGTAAGTTTTCTCGCCTTTCTGCGTTTATCGAATTAAAAACTAAGCTCACTAATGGCGGGAAATTATGAAAAAACGCAAGTGTATTTACAAAAATTGTTAGAAGAAGTAGAGGCTGACTCAGAAATTGAGGACGATGATGATAGCTTATCGAATGATGAAGTAGAATATCAAGATATCAGCATTTTAATGAATTCTGTTTTTTTTTACGAGGACAAAATTTTATTTGGTTGTCCTTTAGGAACCCCAGTTTATTTTTAGCGTATAATTTTCATGTTGATTTTTCTTTCGTGTTTTAATGACATTTTTTTATTATTGTTTTTTTGATAAAAACTGATAAATAAAAATATTTTCTCCAAAATTGTTATTTCATTATGTCCTAGCAAAAAATACAAGTTAACAAAAAAAAACTCAAATTACCAGTGTTGTATTTGTGGATTATTATATGTTAAGTTTAATCTGTAGCATCTTGATATGACATAACCCTGATGTCAGATGTGACAGTTAAGTTAGATTTTACTTGACAGAATTGTATTTTGTAATGTTCTCAAATGTTTAAAAATTTATTAAACATAGTTTAATAAACATTGTATTTTATTAGTAAAAATAGAGATAAATAAAACAGGGTGGCAGCGGAAAACTAAAAGCCAACGAGAAAAGAAGCCAAAAAAGTCAAGGATTGTAAGAATATTTCGGGAAGTAGGTAATCACTAATCACGTTGAAAAAAGAAACAAATTGGACGTGAGGCTACCAGAGGAGATGAAATTTTCGGGAAATGTGAGCGAAAATTTCAAAATATTTAAACAAAATTTTGAGATATTCTTGCTGGATAAAGGGAAACAAGAAGAACAAGATCAAGTAAAAGTAGCTTTGTTGTTGAATTGTATGGGTCAAGAGGAGCCAAGACAAATAAATGTCTACAATACATTTTCACTTGACGAAACTGAGAAAAAACAATACAAGAAGGTCATAGACGAGTTTGAAAAATACTGCAATCCGAAGAAAAACGTTATACAGGGTATCATAGAAATGAGTGCAAATATTTTAAGGGGTGGTAGATCTGGTCAAAATAAACATGTTTTCTATTTACCATTTTTAAAATAAATTGAAAATAACCCATTGAAATGAGTTATTTAACTTTGAAAATTTAAAAAAATAATCGCAACATTTTGAGAACCGCCGGCAGATATCGCCAACTACATCCAATTACCCGGATCAAGCCCGGATTTCAGTTAATTCGAAGCACTGTGATGCCATATGGACAAGAAAGTATATGTTTATAAGTAAGTCACAAAATCACAACACCTGAGGAGTTTGTAGAGATTCATTACATTTTTAAGATTGTGATATTATTACATAAAATAAATTAAAAGTTAAATTAAAAAACTTACTCAACATTAAAAAAGATACTTATGACAGATCGATGTAACTGTGACAGTTCTCTTTTTCGATACACACTTAACTAAAATACACTTCACTGTGCTGCTTTACTTGTACATGCTATTATAATAACTGCTAAAATAACAGTCCCCATTTTTAACTTAACACATTATTTTCATATAGGCTTCATCACAATTTGAACCACTGATTTACAAAACACTTTGAAAAACACACATTACTTTGAATACCTTTCTGAATGAATAAATGTTGAGAAATTATTGTCTCTTGTAAGTCATTATTTCATATTCTCTATTTTTTAAACTAGCAGTTCAAATTTTCATTATAAAACGAACTTTTCAATTGCCATACCAAGTGTACAGGGCGGGCCAAATTGGACACTTTTAAAGCGAAACACCTTTTTCAGACATGGAGGTAGATGAAAACTATTCTGGGTGGTTGGAGATGAATGTAAATAATCTAACTAATAATCTAACTGAAGCTCTAACGATTGGAATATAGCAGTCTTAATAATGGATTGGTGAAAGTTTTTAAACGCCCATTATCGGTGGAAGATACTAGGAATAAGACGAGCATAAAATATAAAATAAGGATAATCTTTTCAAATAGAAGTGTTGGAGATCAATCCGATTGGCAAGTGCTGTGAAACTTGCTGATAATCAAGACCTATAATAGAAGTAGTACCCTTTATTTATCACGTAATATTCAGAGTAAAGATTATTAAATCTGAAATGTCATCGACATGTCCATTTTGGATATTAATTTATTGATATACATTTGATAAGGAATTTTGTTAGATGAAATTTAAACTTAAAAAACATTTTCTACACCCTGTATTCAATCTTCCCCTCATGGGCATTAAATCTAATAATTCGTTTAATAATACCAAAAATTAATATTTTATAATACCCATTTTGTTGCAGGTTTTAGAGGAGGTACCAATTCACGCACCTGATGAGCTGGAGGTGCTCTTTAGAGAGCTGGATGAAGCTAATTCCATACAGCCACCAATGCCACCTACGGAATCTGCCCAGTCCGCTATAATGCCGGGAGTGGCATTATTATTTCACATTCTAAAAACGAATATTTTATAATACCCATTTTGCTACAGGTTTTAGAGGAGGTACCAATTCTCGCACCTGATGAGCTGGAGGTGCTCTTTAGAGAGCTGGATGAAGCTAATTCCATACAGCCACCAATGCCACCTACGGAATCTGCCCAGTCCGCTATAATGCCGGGAGTGGTAAGTCATTATTTCATATTCTAAAAATTAATATTTTATAATACCCATTTTGTTACAGGTTTTAGAGGAGGTACCAATTCTCACACCTGATGAGCTGGAGGAGCTCTTTAGAGAGCTGGATGAAGCTAATTCCATACAGCCACCAATGCCACCTACGGAATCTGCCCAGTCCGCTATAATGCCGGAAGAGGTAAGTCATTATTTCATATTCTAAAAATTAATATTTTTTAATACCCATTTTGTTACAGGATTTAGAGGAGGTACCAATTCTCACACCTGATGAGCTGGAGATGCTCTTTTTTGAGCTGGAGGTGCTCTTTAGAGAGCTGGATGAAGCTAATTCCATACAGCCACCAGTGCCACTTACGGAATCTGCCCAGTCTGCTATAATGTCGGGAATGGTAAGTCATTATTTCATATTCTAAAAATTAATATTTTATAATACCCATTTTGATACAGGTTTTAGAGGAGGTACCAATTCTCACACCTGATGAGCTGGAGGTGTTCTTTAGAGAGTTGGATGAAGCTAATTCCATACAGCCACCAATGCCACCTACGGAATCTGCCCAGTCGGCTATAATGCCGGGAGTTGTAAGTCATTATTTCATATTCTAAAAATTAATATTTTATAATACCCATTTTATTACAGGTTATAGAGGAGGTACCAATTCTCGCACCTGATGAGCTGGAGGTGCTCTTTAGAGAGCTGGATGAAGCTAATTCCATACAGCCACCAATGCCACCTACGGAATTTGCCCAGTCCGCTATAATGCCGGGAGTGGCATTATTATTTCACATTCTAAAAACTAATATTTTATAATACCTATTTTGCTACAGGTTTTAGAGGAGGTACCAATTCTCGTACCTGATGAGCTGGAGGTGCTCTTTAGAGAGCTGGATGAAGCTAATTCCATACAGCCACCAATGCCACCTACGGAATCTGCCCAGTCTGCTATAATGCCGAGAGTGGTAAGTCATTATTTGATATTCTAAAAATTAATATTTTATAATACCCATTTTGTTACAGGTTTTAGAGGAGGTACCAATTCTCGCACCTGATGAGCTGGAGATGCTCTTTTTTGAGCTGGATGAAGCTAATTCCATACAGCCACCAATGCCACCTACGGAATTTATCTAGTCCGCTATAATGCCGGGAGTGGTAAGTCATTATTTGATATTACAGAGAAATATTGCAGTGATAAAGTTCAAGATGGCACCCGGTGTAAACGTGAATATTGAAAGTGATCTGAGAAAGTTGACGAAACAGGATCTTATAAATTATATAGTGTTAAGGAGGATGCCAGATAGTACTGTATGCCTTGGAGAAGCTACACTAAATTTTCTGAAAGGCCGTGCAGAGGACACTGACCATCTGAACAGGACAGTCGTTGGAGAAAATGACGAATGTATGGAAACTTCATGCATACTGGTAAGATGTGATCTTAGAGTAGCTAGAGTAGAAGTAGAATCACATAAAAGACTAACTTCCGAGTTGGGAACGCAAATAGAACAATTGAATACAATAATTTCGTTAATGAAATCTAATCATAAAAGTGAGGTTAATCGGTCGATCGAACCCAGAAAGCAAAATAATAACGGCCCCACCACCTCTACTAGACTGGGCTCCTCTGATCGTGCGGCGAAGCGCTCAGCAAACTCGAGACAGGCTGCAGCGCCTACATCGGGGGTACCGGTTCTACAGCAACAGGGTACTACGAGTACATCGTCACTGAGCTGCGAGAAGTTGAACGCCAGCAATAATAGAGTACCCACTGGTCAAGTAGTGACTAGACAGCAACTGGCCAGTGCTATTTCTGAGGCGGAGTCACGTAGCATCATGGGTGTGCCGGTCAACCCACCAGAAAGGGAGGAGACTAACTGGAGAACTGTTACCAATAAACGGCGTCGTCATCATAAGGCGATTACTGGAACAGGGACAAATTGTACAATTAAGGCGGTACCTAGCCTAACGGATTACCATATCTATAGACTGGACCCAGCATGTACAGAAACAAATATTAAAAACTATCTAATTAGCTTAATCCCCGAAGTAACATGTGAAAAATTACAATCCAGACGGGCTGATGAATATTCATCATTTAAAATAGGTGTGAATGACAGTCATTCTGAAAATATAACTGATCCAACCTTGTGGCCTCCAGGAACGAAGATCAGTAAGTTTTTTCACCTCAGGAAAATACCGAAAACCATAGGATAGGAACAACATCCTACAACCTGAAAATATTCCATATAAACATACAGTGTCTTACCAACATATCTGATGAACTTTCCATATTAATGAATGATGAGAAGTACGATATTGTTTGTGTTAGTGAGCACTGGTGCAAGCAGAATGTTTTAAGTAGTATTAAGATACAAAACTTTACACTAGCCTCATCATTTTGTAGAAAAGATAAGTGTCACGGCGTTGTATGTATTTTTGTTAGAAATTGTTTTAAATATAAGAATCTAGATTTAAATAGTATATCAAGAGAAATAGAGGCAGAGTTGTGTGCCATAGAGATATGTAACGGTAGGATTTTGGTGATAACTGCTTATAGATCACCCTCGGGTCTTACTGGCACATTCTTCAATGTCTTTGGGGAGTTTCTCCACGATGCGCAAAGTAGGTACAGGCAGTTGATTGTGCTGGGCGTCTTTAACATAGACTTCTCGCGTAGTTCGTCTAATTTGAGCGACTTAATGTCTATTTTAACTTGTAATGGTATGAGTCCCACTATCTCTGAAAATACACGAATAACCGAAATATCTGCGTCATGTATAGACAACATATTAATTAGCGATAATATTACTGATTTTGTTACCGGAGTAATGAATTCATGTCTATCTGACCATCATGGTATATACATAAATCTGAATATTGCAGAGGTGAGTCCGGCTCCTCAAATTTTTAAGGTAAGAAGTTTAACAGCCAGGGCTTTGAGTTGCATAAAGCGGGAATTGTTAGATTTAGACTGGGCAGACTATTTTAACTCGAATGACATTGAGTTTTTGTCAAAATTTTTAGTAATAAATGTTAAAATTTTAATAAATAAACACTTACCCTTGAAAACGGTTAGGAATAGGAATAATAATCCTCCTGTTCGCTGGTATAATAGTGAGCTCAAAGAAAAAAGAAGGCAAATGCAAGTTGTAAAATGCATTGCTGACGGATTAAATAGTGTAGAGTATAGCGCCTACTACCGGTTACTGCAGGGAGATTATAAAAATTCTATCATTATCGCAAAAAAGAATGCCTACAGTAATTATGTAAATTCATCAAAATCGAAAGCAAAAAGTGCCTGGAAAATTATCAACCTCGAGAGAAATCATCAGGCAAGATCGAGAAACAACTCTGATATAAAAGCTGGGGAATTCAACGAGTATTTTCTTGAAATAGCATCTAAAATTGTAAGCGAATTGTCCATTGATCAAAATATTCAGAACGAATTGATTGGAAATATATTAATGAACAACAGCACTTTTGTTTTTTTGCCAATAGACGGGCGAGAGATATGGAATGCTGTTAATGCGCTGAAAGATTCGCTTCATATGATATTTATGATATAAGTAGCAATTTTGAAAAGCATTTCAAATGAAATTATCCAGCCTATGGTTCATCTTTTAACATTTGTATTGAAAAGGGCAATTTCCCCAATCTTTTAAATTATCTAGAGTGGTTCCAATTTTTTAAAAAGGAGACGAGGATTCAGTGTCGGACTATCGCCCCATATCGATTGTTCCAGTTTTTTAGCAAAATATTTGAAAAAAATTATTAAAGTTAGATTAATGGATTTTTTCGGAGAGAAACGATTTTGCTCGACTTTTCACAGTTCGGCTTCCGGAGGGGCGATCTGCGGTTCATGCTGTTGGTAGTGTTGTGTCGGACATAGTCGAGGGCTTTGAAAAGGGAGAGCTGGTAAATCTAATGCTATGCGATCTCATTAAGGCGTTCGACTGTGTATCGCATGCGATCCTGATTGACAAGTTGTACAGATATGGTGTTAGAGGTGTTGGACTGCAATTGCTTAAGTCATATCTCGACGGGCGTAGACAGTGCGTGGACTTTGGCAATGCGGTTACTGTAGTAGGTTTGATGGAGAGTGATATGCCACAGGGATCTGTACTGGGACCACTGCTCTTTATTATTTATATTAATGAGCTTTTTAATTACCTTATACCAAATAAGTGTCGAGCGTTTGCGGATGACAGTTCAATGTCTTGTAGAAATAAAAATATGGATCTGCTAGTGACTGAAAGCGAAAGGTTGATAAAACGTGCGGAGACTTGGTTCACGCATAATTGCCTGAAACTGAATCGCGATAAAACGCAAAACATATTTTTTTCCTCCAGATGGTCTAAGGATATAGAAATGAATAGTGCTAAACTATTGGGTATTACACTGGATAGTACACTCAGTTGGGTACCACATATTGAAAATCTTAAACGCAGACTTTCGTCGGTGGTATACTTGATGCGTAAACTTAAAGCGTTAATCTGCCAGGAGTCTTTGTTGAATTCGTACTATGCCTTGTTTCATTCCCATATGTCCTATGGAGTGGCTTTGTGGGGGAACTCGACAAATTCTATTCAAATATTTCGGTTGCAAAAAAGGGTAATTAGAATATTATGTGGTGTTGGCTATCGAGATACATGTAAGCCCCACTTTATTAGACTGAATATACTTACACTGCCTGCTCTGTATATATTAAATCAACTTTTGGAAGTTCATAAAACTAAATCTTATTTGACAGTAAACCCTGACTCTCATAATTATGGAACAAGATCTGCCAATCTAATACGAACCAATTTCTATAGACTGGATAAATCAGCTAGAAACTCTCTACGCATTGATTTATACAACCGTCTTCCAATGGAATTAAAAACTCTATGTTTTAACAAATTTAAATATAAGCTTAAGACATTTTTAGAGAAATCTGGAATTTATAGCGTGGATGAGTTTATAGAGCAGGTAGATGGAAACTTAGATTTAATTTGATTTATTTAAACAAAAATTCTTAAATTGTTGTTTGTCTTGTATGTATTTAATGTAACACATTTTGCATCCGTGTATTGTTTTTTTTCTAACTTTTAGTATTTTTATGAATTCTTATCTGTTTGTTATTTACTCTGACCCGCTACAATTATACATTGTATAAATACGTAGTAAATAAAGATTTATTTATTTATTTATTTAAGTGATAATCCAAATGAACACAGTTTATTCTAAAAATTAATATTTTATAATACCCATTTTGTTACAGGTTTTAGAGGAGGTACCAATTCTCGCACCTGATGAGCTGGAGATGCCCTTTTTTGAGCTGGATGAAGCTAATTCTATACAGTCACCAATGCCACCTACGGAATTTGCCTAGTCCGCTATAATGCCGGGAGTGGTAAGTCATTATTTCATATTCTAAAAATTAATATTTTATAATACCCATTTTGTTACAGGTTTTAGAGGAGGTACCAATTCTGACACCTGATAAGCTGGAGGTGCTCTTTAAAGGGCTGGATGAAGTTAATTCCATACAGCCACCAATGCCACCTACGGAATCTGCCCAGTCTGCTATAATGCCGGGAGTGGTAAGTCATTATTTCATATTTTAAAAATTAATATTTTATAATATCCATTTTGTTACAGGTTTTAGAGGAGGTACCAATTCTCGCACCTGATGAGCTGGAGGTGCTCTTTAGAGAGCTGGATGAAGCTAATTCCATACAGCCACCAATGCCACCTACGGAATTTGCCTATTCCGCTATAATGCCGGGAGTGGTAAGTCATTATTTCATATTCTAAAAATTAATATTTCATAATACCCATTTTGTTACAGGCTTTAGAGGGGTACCACCTCGCACCTGATCAGCTGGAGATGCTCTTTTTGAGCTGGATGAAGCTAATTCCATACAGCCACCAATGCCACCTACGGAATTTGCCTAGTCCGCTATAATGCCGGGAGTGGTAAGTCATTATTTCATATTCTAAAAATTAATATTTTATAATACCCATTTTGTTACAGGTTTTAGAGGAGGTACCAATTCTCACACCTGATGAGCTGGAGGTGCTCTTTAGAGAGCTGGATGAAACTAATTCCATATAGCCACCAATGCCACCTACGGAATCTGCCCAGTCTGCTATAATGCCGGGAGTGGTAAGTCATTATTTCATATTCTAAAAATTAATATTTTATAATACCCATTTTGTTACAGGTTTTAGAGGAGGTACCAATTCTCCCACCTGATGAGCTGGAGGTGCTCTTTAGAGAGCTGGATGAAGCTAATTCTATACAGCCACCAGTGCCACCTACGGAATTTGCCTAGTCCGCTATAATGCCGGGAGTGGTAAGTCATTATTTCATATTCTAAAAATTAATATTTTATAATACCCATGTTGTTACTGGTTTTAGAGGAGGTACCAATTCTCGCACCTGATGAGCTGGAGGTGCTCTTTAGAGAGCTGGATGAAACTAATTCCATACAGCCACCAATGCCACCTACGGAATCTGCCCAGTCTGCTATAATGCCGGGAGTGGTAAGTCATTATTTCATATTCTAAAAATTAATATTTTATAATACATTTTGTTACAGGTTTTAGAGGAGGTACCAATTCTCGCACCTGATGAGCTGGAGATGTACTTTTTTGAGCTGGATGAAGCTAATTCCATACAGCCACCAATGCCACCTACGGAATTTGCCTAGTCCGCTATAATGCCGGGAGTGGTAAGTCATTATTTGATATTCTAAAAATTAATATTTTATAATACCCATTTTGTTACAGGTATTAGAGGAGGTACCAATTCTCACACCTGATGAGTTGGAGGTGCTCTTTAGAGAGCTGGATGAAGCTAATTCCATACAGCCACCAATGCCACCTACGGAATTTGCCTAGTCCGCTATAATGCCGGGAGTGGTAAGTCATTATTTCATATTCTAAAAATTAATATTTTATAATACCCATTTTGTTACAGGTTTTAGAGGAGGTACCAATTTCACACCTGATGAGCTGGAGGTGCTCTTTAGAGAGCTGGATGAAGCTAATTCCATACAGCCACCAATGCCACCTACGGAATTTGCCTATTCCGCTATAATGCCGGGAGTGGTAAGTCAATATATCATATTCTAAAATTAATATTTTATAATACCCATTTTGTTACAGCTTTTAGAGGAGGTACCAATTCTCACACCTGATGAGTTGGAGGTGCTCTTTTTAGAGAGCTGGATGAAGCTAATTCCATACAGCCACCAATGCCACCTACGGAATTTGCCTAGTCCGCTATAATGCCGGGAGTGGTAAGTCATTATTTCATATTCTAAAAATTAATATTTTATAATACCCATTTTGTTACAGGTTTTAGAGGAGGTACCAATTCTGACACCTGATAAGCTGGAGGTGCTCTTTAAAGAGCTGGATGAAGCTAATTCCATACAGCCACCAGTGCCACCTACGGAATCTGCCCAGTCTGCTATAATGCCGGGAGTGGCAAGTCATTATTTGATATTCTAAAAATTAATATTTTATAATACCCATTTTGTTACAGGTATTAGAGGAGGTACCAATTCTCACACCTGATGAGTTGGAGGTGCTCTTTAGAGAGCTGGATGAAGCTAATTCCATACAGCCACCAATGCCACCTACGGAATTTGCCTAGTCCGCTATAATGCCGGGAGTGGTAAGTCATTATTTCATATTCTAAAAATTAATATTTTATAGTACCCATTTTGTTACAGGTTTTAGAGGAGGTACCAATTCTCACACCTGATGAGCTGGAGGTGCTCTTTAAAGAGCTGGATGAAGCTAATTCCATACAGCCACCAATGCCACCTACGGAATCTGCCCCGTCTGCTATAATGCCGGGAGTGGTAAGTCATTATTTCATATTTTAAAAATTAATATTTTATAATACCCATTTTGTTACAGGTTTTAGAGGAGGAACCAATTCTCGCACCTGATGAACTGGAGGTGCTCTTTAGAGAGCTGGATGAAGCTAATTCCATACAGCCACCAATGCCACCTACGGAATTTGCCTATTCCGCTATAATGCCGGGAGTGGTAAGTCATTATTTCATATTCTAAAAATTAATATTTTATAATACCCATTTTGTTACAGGTTTTAGAGGAGGTACCAATTCTCACACCTGATGAGCTGGAGGTGCTTTAGAGAGCTGGATGAAGCTAATTCCATACAGCCACCAATGCCACCTACGGAATTTGCCTATTCCGCTATAATGCCGGGAGTGGTAAGTCAATATTTCATATTCTAAAAATTAATATTTTATAATACCCATTTTGTTACAGCTTTTAGAGGAGGTACCACTCACAACTGATGAGTTGGAGGTGCTCTTTAGAGCTGGATGAAGCTAATTCCATACAGCCACCAATGCCACCTACGGAATTTGCCTAGTCCGCTATAATGCCGGGAGTGGTAAGTCATTATTTCATATTCTAAAGATTAATATTTTATAATACCCATTTTGTTACAGGTTTTAGAGGAGGTACCAATTCTGACACCTGATAAGCTGGAGGTGCTCTTTAAAGAGCTGGATGAAGTTAATTCCATACAGCCACCAATGCCACCTACGGAATCTGCCCAGTCTGCTATAATGCCGGGAGTGGTAAGTCATTATTTCATATTTTAAAAATTAATATTTTATAATACCCATTTTGTTACAGGTTTTAGAGGAGGTACCAATTCTCGCACCTGATGAGCTGGAGGTGCTCTTTAGAGAGCTGGATGAAGCTAATTCCATACAGCCACCAATGCCACATACGGAATTTGCCTATTCCGCTATAATGCCGGGAGTGGTAAGTCATTATTTCATATTCTAAAAATTAATTTTATAATACCCATTTTGTTACAGGTTTTAGAGGAGGTACCAATTCTCACACCTGATGAGCTGGAGGTGCTCTTTAGAGAGCTGGATGAAGCTAATTCCATACAGCCACCAATGCCACCTACGGAATCTGCCCAGTCTGCTATAATGCCGGGAGTGGTAAGTCATTATTTGATATTCTAAAAATTAATATTTTATAATACACATTTTGTTACAGGCTTTAGAGGAGGTACCAATTCTCGCACCTGATGAGCTGGAGATGCTCTTTTTTAAGCTGGATGAAGCTAATTCCATACAGCCACCAATGCCACCTACGGAATTTGCCTAGTCCGCTGTAATGCCGGGAGTGGTAAGTCATTATTTCATATTCTAAAAAATAATATTTTATAATACCCATTTTGTTACAGGCTTTAGAGGAGGTACCAATTCTCACACCTGATGAGCTGGAGGTGCTCTTTAGAGAGCTGGATGAAGCTAATTCCATACAGCCACCAATGCCACCTACGGAATCTGCCCAGTCTGCTATAATGCCGGGAGTGGTAAGTCATTATTTGATATTCTAAAAATTAATATTTTATAATACCCATTTTTTTACAGGTATTAGAGGAGGTACCAATTCTCACACCTGATGAGTTGGAGGTGCTCTTTAGAGAGCTGGATGAAGCTAATTCCATACAGCCACCAATGCCACCTACGGAATTTGCCTAGTCCGCTATAATGCCGGGAGTGGTAAGTCATTATTTCATATTCTAAAATTAATATTTTATAATACCCATTTTGTTACAGGTATTAGAGGAGGTACCAATTCTCACACCTGATGAGTTGGAAGTGCTCTTTAGAGAGCTGGATGAAGCTAATTCCATACAGCCACCAATGCCACCTACGGAATTTGCCTATTCCGCTATAATGCCGGGAGTGGTAAGTCATTATTTCATATTCTAAAAATTAATATTTTATAATACCCATTTTGTTACAGGTTTTAGAGGAGGTACCAATTCTCACACCTGATGAGCTGGAGGTGCTCTTTAGAGAGCTGGATGAAGCTAATTCCATACAGCCACCAATGCCACCTACGGAATTTGCCTATTCCGCTATAATGCCGGGAGTGGTAAGTCAATATTTCATATTCTAAAAATTAATATTTTATAATACCCATTTTGTTACAGCTTTTAGAGGAGGTACCAATTCTCACACCTGATGAGTTGGAGGTGCTCTTTAGAGAGCTGGATGAAGCTAATTCCATACAGCCACCAATGCCACCTACGGAATTTGCCTAGTCCGCTATAATGCCGGGAGTGGTAAGTCATTATTTCATATTCTAAAAATTAATATTTTATAATACCCATTTTGTTACAGGTTTTAGAGGAGGTACCAATTCTGACACCTGATAAGCTGGAGGTGCTCTTTAAAGAGCTGGATGAAGCTAATTCCACACAGCCACCAATGCCACCTACGGAATCTGCCCAGTCTGCTATAATGCCGGGAGTGGTAAGTTATTATTTGATATTCTAAAAATTAATATTTTATAATACCCATTTTGTTACAGGTTTTAGAGGAGGTACCAATTCTCACACCTGATGAGCTGGAGGTGCTCTTTAGAGAGCTGGATGAAGCTAATGCCATACAGCCACCAATGCCACCTACGGAATCTGCCCAGTCTGCTATAATGCCGGGAGTGGTAAGTCATTATTTGATATTCTAAAAATTAATATTTTATAATACCCATTTTGTTACAGGTATTAGAGGAGGTACCAATTCTCACACCTGATGAGTTGGAAGTGCTCTTTAGAGAGCTGGATGAAGCTAATTCCATACAGCCACCAATGCCACCTACGGAATTTGCCTATTCCGCTATAATGCCGGGAGTGGTAAGTCATTATTTCATATTCTAAAAATTAATATTTTATAATACCCATTTTGTTACAGGTTTTAGAGGAGGTACCAATTCTCACACCTGATGAGCTGGAGGTGCTCTTTAGAGAGCTGGATGAAGCTAATTCCATACAGCCACCAATGCCACCTACGGAATTTGCCTATTCCGCTATAATGCCGGGAGTGGTAAGTCAATATTTCATATTCTAAAAATTAATATTTTATAATACACATTTTGTTACAGGCTTTAGAGGAGGTACCAATTCTCGCACCTGATGAGCTGGAGATGCTCTTTTTTGAGCTGGATGAAGCTAATTCCATACAGCCACCAATGCCACCTACGGAATTTGCCTAGTCCGCTATAATGCCGGGAGTGGTAAGTCATTATTTCATATTCTAAAAATTAATATTTTATAATACCCATTTTGTTATAGGTTTTAGAGGAGGTACCAATTCTCACACCTGATGAGCTGGAGGTGCTCTTTAGAGAGCTGGATGAAACTAATTCCATATAGCCACCAATGCCACCTACGGAATCTGCCCAGTCTGCTATAATGCCGGGAGTGGTAAGTCATTATTTGATATTCTAAAATTAATATTTTATAATACCCATTTTGTTACAGGCTTTAGAGGAGGTACCAATTCTCGCACCTGATGAGCTGGAGATGCTCTTTTTGAGCTGGATGAAGCTAATTCCATACAGCCACCAATGCCACCTACGGAATCTGCCCAGTCTGCTATAATGCCGGGAGTGGTAAGTCATTATTTGATATTCTAAAAATTAATATTTTATAATACACATTTTGTTACAGGCTTTAGAGGAGGTACCAATTCTCGCACCTGATGAGCTGGAGATGCTCTTTTTTGAGCTGGATGAAGCTAATTCCATACAGCCACCAATGCCACCTACGGAATTTGCCTAGTCCGCTATAATGCCGGGAGTGGTAAGTCATTATTTCATATTCTAAAAATTAATATTTTATAATACCCATTTTGTTATAGGTTTTAGAGGAGGTACCAATTCTCACACCTGATGAGCTGGAGGTGCTCTTTAGAGAGCTGGATGAAACTAATTCCATATAGCCACCAATGCCACCTACGGAATCTGCCCAGTCTGCTATAATGCCGGGAGTGGTAAGTCATTATTTGATATTCTAAAAATTAATATTTTATAATACCCATTTTGTTACAGGCTTTAGAGGAGGTACCAATTCTCGCACCTGATGAGCTGGAGATGCTCTTTTTTGAGCTGGATGAAGCTAATTCCATACAGCCACCAATGCCACCTACGGAATTTGCCTAGTCCACTATAATGCCGGGAGTGGTAAGTCATTATTTCATATTCTAAAAATTAATATTTTATAATACCCATTTTGTTACAGGTTTTAGAGGAGGTACCAATTCTCACACCTGATGAGCTGGAGGTGCTCTTTAGAGAGCTGGATGAAACTAATTCCATACAGCCACCAATGCCACCTACGGAATCTGCCCAGTTTGCTATAATGCCGGAAGTGGTAAGTCATTATTTCATATTCTAAAAATTAATATTTTATAATACCCATTTTGTTACAGGTTTTAGAGGAGGTTACTAGGCTGAATATTAATAATTAACTATTTAAGCTTATGAAAGTAATTCAAGTGCTATTTAAACAGAAAAAAAAATAAATTAGTCATTCCTCTGGCATAATTCCTCTGGAAATAAAAATACCAGAGGAATGACGATATCCCAGAGGAATGTTTCTTACCTCAATACTTTAATACCCCATTTTTCTTATCACGAATAGAGTAAAAATTAATTAATGTAGGGCACCTAGATATTTATTATGAAATATGACATTATTTTTAGATTAAAAATGGCGAGAACGAGACGGAAACAACCAGATAGTCGCGAAGAGAAATTGAGAAAGAAAAGAGACGCAGAAAAAAGAAGATACGAGCGTATGAAAGAGACTCCTTAGAAGAAAATTATAAACCTTCACAAACTCTACCCAAAAATTTCCAAGTTTACTTGGAATTATTATGAGGCTTGGCACGGTAAAGGAGCCTCAGATTGCATTGGGGGTGTCACTAAAAGGACTGCTGATAGGCTAGTAGCCGAAGGAAAAGATATTGTTTCCTTTGGAGACCCTAGTAACACATCTTAAAGAAAACATAATAAAAGTGACATATTTTACAATAACGAAACAAGATATTGATGGAATCGAAAACATTATTAAAAACGAAAGCAAAAATATAAAGCCTTTTGTTGGCACAATGAAAGTGCATCAAATTACGATGGATGACTATTCCTTAGGGCAATTATTTTTTTTTCCATTAAGCAAATTTGAGACAAAAAACGTTAACTTTCTACTGGGTCGAATACGGTATTCCAGGGAAAAAGCATTAAATGAATCTGAGTCATTTGTGGATCCTGAAGATGAATTACAATTGATTAATTACGTTGGTCAGAATAATAATAATTCATTATATTTTAATGGTACTCCGACAAATTATGTTTCCGACAATGATACAGCCGACAAAAGTGCTCCCAGCAAAGAAAAAGAATTTTGTAAGACATTTTCAAATTCTGAAGGTGAATCGTTAGTTACCTTTATTGCCAAGAAAATTATTAAAAAATTTCGATACGAAGATGTGTATTCCGATGATGAAGCTGGTCCCAGTATTAAACTTTTAGATGCCTTTGAACTTACGCCAAAAAATATCAAATCTGGAACTTATCTTTTAATTCAATACAAAATGCCGAAAACAAACTATCGATACGTGGGTGTTACACAGAGCGACCTTACTGATGATGACGAAGTGAAAGTGATGTTCTTAAAAGTATGTACTTTACGGAAGGCCCAAGCTTTTATACTCAATAAAAAAGATGTATCTTTTGTACAGTATGAACAAATCATATCAATTTTGTCGGTACCTTTAATATCAATGTATAACAAAAAACTTACCTATTACATACTTTCAAAAACATCATGTTTTTGAAAAGGCTTAAGTTACTTTTAAATGTATTTATTACTGATATTATTCTTAATTTTGCAATAAATACTTTTTGATTATTTTTTTTTGTTTACTTCAAGATAATATCATTCCTCTGTTTTTATAATCATTCCTCTGGATGCAGTTTTTTTGAAAATATCCTGTAAATTTACGAAAATGAATAAATAAATGTGTTCCTCAATGGAGCTTTTATATTTCTTGTCTACTTAAAAAGAATTTCAGGAATAAGTCAGCATTTTGTTACTTTTTCTTTTTTTTATAACATACTCCAAATGGTAATAGTTGTGGAGAAACACCCAAATATACAAAGAGAAATTAATCATCCCGATACAAACATAGTAAGCTGATGAGATAATTAACTGGTCAGGATAAACAACTAGGTTAGGAAGAGTTTCTAAACGTCCTACACATTTAAAAGACTATTGTGCATAATGTAAACATTTTATTCTTATGTAGCTAGTTTTACAATGTAGTTCAAATGTCAAGTGTCATATTAGGTTAGCACGACAGAAGACATGTAAATTAGACGAGATAAATGTCACAAAGAATGTTTAATTATATTTTATAATCTTGTTTATTAATAAAGCTTGTTTAATAAACGTAATCTGTATTAGTTACAATAGGCACCCCTGTTAATTTTACAGCAAAATTGTAAATAGGTTTTTAAAAGGTCTGCGTATGCTGAATACACATGCCAAATTTGGACAAGCTGATTTTAAGTAATTTAAGAAAAATCGCATCTATTTCTAAATTAAAACTGAACAGGTAACAGTACAAACCAAACCAAACCAGGCAAATGCCAACGTATCTTGTCAAATTGTATTTTCTAAACGTTAGGCTTTTGCCTCATTCGAACCAATTTTAAATTACAAAAATACATTTCGGAGACACTAAGCGTAGGTACTGTCCGTAGGTACTGTAACGTAGTAGTGGAGACAACACAACAAATTACATTTCACAATGATACAATCATAGATTGAAACTTAAGGTATGTTAACATTTGACTGGTTTTGCATTGTTACCTATTCTGTTTTAATTTAAAATTAGATGCATTTTTTTTTAAATTACTTAAAATCGGCTTGTCCAAAATTGTTTAAATTTGGTACGTGTATTCAGCATAGGTAGATCTTTAAAAAACATATTTACGACTTAGGCTAAGGACATAGTGGAGCGACGAGGATAGCGGCGAGCAAGCAGCGCGACATCGCGTTCAAAACAAACCTGTGAAGACAAGTACGTGTAAACCATGTGTAAACATACTAAAGCGATCTGCTCGAGCGGTTAGATCGAACTAGGAATGCACGATCTATATCGATATTTTTGTAAAATCGATTTTTTATACCGAAAAATCGATTTTTTGAATCGATTTTTAAGGCACCGACCTTTAAGAGAATCGGGACTTTACAACAAAGATCGATCTTTCTCTCTTTTTTTAGTCCATTAGGAAAAATATGAAAATTTGCAGAAGGTTTTTTATGCATGTGTGATTAAACCTAATATAAGGCTAATATTAAATAATTGATGGCTCCAGAGCAGAGATATAGAGATCTCTATATCTCTGCTCCAGAGTCACAGCATTAGGGTACGAACATAGCGGAGGCAGGTTTCTGCTTTCCGGCAACCAGCGCCGTCTCTGGGGACCTATTCTTGACCACATATCGCTCACATCTCGCATCTCCGAAAAAGCCATATAACAATACACGTGATGCGTAACTTTGCGTATATGCCGTGTATTGTTATATGGCTTTTTCGGAGATGGCGAGCAGTGTTCGGAAGTAGTTAATTAAGAGGAAATTTACCTGATTAACTAACCTAACCTAACCTAACCATATCCAAACGCCGCTCCCGCCGCGCCGGCGCCGCACATAGGGGTATTTGGTCTATAAACCTGGCCAAAAGTGAAATATTTTTATTTTCATTTTTTATCTTAACTGAATACAAATCTATAAATACTAAATGTAAGCGCGTTTATTAGCTTTTTTTAAGTCGTAAGTTGACTATCAAATAAATAATATATTTCAATTATAAGTATGAATTATCTTAAGTGTATTCTGAATATTTCTAAGATTATAAAATAGTGGAATTGTTTGTAGTGCTTTTTTGGCAAATTGTTTATAATAACTGTCATCATGGATACAGAGCCAGCTGGCAAGTCCGGTTTTATGCCATATTTTTTTTTGAAACGTTTTTTTCTATTCTATTTCTTTATAATGTTTTATATTTAAAAAATCAGAGGCATTTTTATAAGGTGTAAGACTATTCGGCAATATTCCGCATTGAAATTAGTATCCGTTCAATCATTGAAATTAGTATCCGTCTCCAGCTTTGGAATATGTACAAAAATCTTGCCACTGCCAAAAAAATATTGATTTAAATAGATTCTTAAAGAAAATAGTCTTTA